GTCCCCACAAGTAAGAGTGTATGCAAAAAAAAAAAAAACTTGTCTCATGATGTTGGGAATGCCCACACACAAAAATGGAAATGTTTTCTTACCGTTCAATACAATTAAAAATTGGTAAAGAAAGAAAAGTTAATCTTGAGCAACGTGTCACCTCCCCTGAGAACCTTCCTCCTCCGCAGGACGACACGCAACACAATTTGAGAACAATCTAGTAGAACCTCATTCCAGGTTGTGTTTAGGATGTATATATACACTCAGATACAACTGATGTTAAACATTTGCGACAGATAGCAGCTTTATAACTTCACTTCTCTGTTAAAGGAAGCAGAAATCTGCAGGATGGCTTCTGACCATGGAGAGTGGTTTGGCACAAAACCTGCTGATGARGAAATTCAAGAGATCTGTGATCAGGTGAGCTTTGTTTGAGTTTATTTTTAAAATCACAAACTTTCTGTTCAGAACTAAAATCTAATAACTTTATTTTATTCATAACAGGTGAGGAGCCAAGTGGAGGAAGAAACACAAAAGAATCACAAGGAATTCAAAGCAATTGTGTACAGAGTGGGAGGTTGGAGGCATTTGTGTGGAGTATCCTACTTTTTGATAAAGGTAAAAACKTTTATATCATATTTTTATGTGGATATTGACAAGAGATTCACTGATACATGATTCAGATTTGTCTTSTCTTCTAGGTTAAGATAGAAGAAAACAATTACCTCCATCTGCAGCTACGTAGAGTCTCTTGTCCAGGACTGCCCGTCTATCTGACAGCATGGCAAGGAAACCACACAAGAAAYGATCCTCTTGAACCCATCAAACAGCTGCAGCTTTACAATTAAATGTTTTAATTTGTTATCCAGACAGTTAGCTGTAAAGTTATTCATTTTTTTCATCTGATCAATAAATGAGATTCAAACTCTACATTTCTTCTCTGAAGTCTGATTTGTTTTGTAAAGGAAACAGCTCCAACACAAATGTGACCATATCAGTATAAGTTCGATTATTCTTTAGTCTGTGTGAAGAAAATAAGAATGTTTGACAAAACAAATAAAAACTATGAAACATTTGATTAGAGAGAAATTCAATAAAAATGTTGAGGTCAAGGTGAAAGAACCCAAGAGCWGGTGGAGACAAAGAGCTCCGAAAATAAAATGATTTTTAAAATAAAACAAAAAGCTGACAAGACAGCAAAAACTTACAGGACACAGAAGACAAGAAGGACCGAGACTGATGGGCAAAGCCATGCAATGAACCAGCGAGGTAATGGAGAGATGAGACCAGTTATATACAGACAGATGGAGAGAGGAGAATGAGCAACAGCTGAGGAGAAGACTGATTACAAACGACTGACAGGTGAGTGTGGTTAACAGGAGAATGACAGATAGGACTGAGAGATGACACAAGGAGAACACAAGAGGAAGACAAAGCACAACACAACACATCCTCACAAAAAAGTGACTTCAGATGACTTACTATTGTTTTTCAAATTTAATGAAAACCCTGACTATATAACAAAGTCATAGTCTTTATAATTTTATATTAAGACTAAATACCAAAAATCCTTCAAAAAGGTTACACGGAATAAAGAACAGAGCAAATTGACATTCTTCAGAAAAGTAAAGACAACAATAAAAATAATTAAATAAAATGTTACATTTAGTTTTAACTTTATAGTTTTTACTGAATCTTGATTAATAACAATAGTATAATAAGTGAGTAATTTTCAATAATAATAWTAATAAAAAGTTGTTTCGAAAACTGGTTTTGAACTAAAAAAATGAAAAAATATTTTTTATTAGGTGTAGAATGAGAAAGCATAAAACAACATTTAAAATAAAAAAATAAAACTTCCCACAATCCTGACGCACCTTAAAGTTAATACTGAGAATTAATTCTGTCTTTAAAACATGATAGAAATATGAAGATTCGTTGAGAGAAAATCTGACATTTTTATCAGAGATGAGTTCAGAGTAAAGTACAGATATTTATTATTTATCCTCGTCTGTGGTATGCTGCACATTTTAGAACATCCCCAGAAGTCATAGAGACAAAAAACATCATGTTTGACTGAAAACCTCATCAGACCTCAAACTAAACTGCATCAGATGAAAACGTCTGAGGAAAATCTCTAACGTGAGCAGCTGTTAAATTAATTCCTTTGATTCTCTAAACTCAGGTGGTTCAGATTGTTGTCTTCTGCAGGTAAGATATGACAAGTATGAACATGCTCAAAAAGGGAAAATGTTTCTTATCGTTCAATGCAATTAAAAATTGGCAAAGAAAAAAAGTTAATCTTGAGCAACGTGTCACCTCCCCTGACAGAACCTTCCTCCTCCGCAGGACGACACGCAGCACAGTTTGAGAACAATCTAGTAGAACCTCATTCCAGGCTGTGTTTAAGATGTACAGCGGGTAAAATAAGTATTGAACACGTCAC